TTCTTCATCAAGGTTCCACTAGCTTTTATATTTTTCAAAGCAAAAATCTTTCCAGTGCTGCTGGCAATTTAGTTCTGACTTGTTTCTACCTCAACTTACTGGAGCCAACAAAGAAAGGCCTTTCTGACCTTCTGGAAATAGGTAATGTTCCATATTATTATTGTGGAATTAAAAAAATTCTCTGAAGACCTGTCTATGCAAAACAATTCCCAGAATGCCTTACCCCAGCCAATAACATTGGAAAGAAGACAGATTTGCTTTTATGTTTCTGCAAAAAGGTCAAGTTCTTGTTTCATGCCCACTGTGATATATATACTTCCTTCCAACCCTGATGCAATTGAAGAATATTCTGAGGTCAGGGAAGGATTCATTTTAATTTGCATATAAGAGAGAATTTTTCCCAGTACAGATGAGTTCGCATTTTCTTAAATTGTAAGGACTGTTAAACAGAGGGCCATTATATTTAAATGTTTTACCTGTGTGATTTATTTCTCTACTTTCCCTAGCAACTTGAAGGCCAAGAATTTTCTAACTTTCAGAGACTATACGTTGCTAATCCTGTTTGGACCAGACCACTGCTGTCCGAGTTGAATATTTTAGTTCAATAATTCCCAGCTCTTAGATTTTTGAAGTCTTGAAACCCTGCCTTTCTTTGCCCCCACCACCACATGACTTACACAGATAATCCTGTAAAATTAGGATGAAGGAGACCTTTTTATGAGTTTGGGTAAAGACTATCATGATCTGATACTATTTCAAGAAAATAAACTACCTGGGATTTCAACCATTTGAGATTTCAGTCTGTTCTCTAGTGGATTGGTTATAGCTTTCTTGATAAGGAAAAAGAATACTTTTTTTTTTTTAAGGCAAGGACTTTACAATTTAAAAAAGGCATTAGTTTACTTCAGATAGTATTTTTGAATGGAACTCAGAAAACTCACTTGGAGGCTTGGACTCCTTAAAGCCAGATTTTTTTCAGCCCCACTCTGCAAGTCCTCGCTGCCTTGTTGATTGTGACAGACGAGCCTCCCTGTGGGTACATCTGTTGGGCGGTAACTTTATGCTCCTCCTTGGCATTGAGTTAGATGCAACAAATTAGGATGATGAGTTTGCTGATGTAAATGAAAACTGACCACTCCATTAGTGACCACTATTAGTGTGTTTTTCCTTTTGGACTTCGGAAGGGAGAAATTTGCCAGGGCTAGGCACCTGCATCTGAATCACAAAGGAGTGCAAGGGTCACGCAGAGAACAGACATGAGTGACGCAGCCTGGCTGTAGGGCAGGGGTGGGAGTGAGGAGCTGCAAAATGCAGATTCCGGGCCTCATCTCTGCTTTAGCAAGTTGGAATCTTTCTTTCTTTCTTTCTTTCTTTTTTTTTTTTTTGAGACAGAGCCTCAAGCTGTCGCCCTGGACAGAGGGCTGTGGCATTACTGCTCACAGCAACCTCCAACTCCTGGGTTCAAGCGAGTCTCCTGCTTCCCAAGTAGCTGGGACTACAGGCACCTGCCACAATGCCTGGCTATTTTTTGGTTGCAGCTGTCATTGTTGTTTGGTGGGCCCGGGCTGGATTTGAACCCGCCAGCTCTGGTGTATGTGGCTGGCACCTTAGCTGCTTGAGCCACAGGAACTGAGCCAACAAGTTGGAATCTTTTGAGGTGGGGCTCTGGTTCCAACATCTTTTCAATCTCTCTAGGTAATTCTTATGTATCCCAAAGCTTGGAAACCTCTGCCTTAGAAGTTCCACATTGCCATTGAATTATTATTTTCTCCATTCGTTTCTTAATGGAAGAGAGAATTGAGTGCATTCCCTGAGGGCTAATTCCTTTCTCCCTCTCTCTCTTTTATTCTCCCTGCCTCTGTCTCTCTCTTGCCCGCGCACATATACATACAAGAAAGCCTTTAAATCTGAGTTTGTCCATTAGAGTCCAACTCTGGAAATCTTTCTGTATTTTCTTCAATATTATGAAAGGAAAGATATATAAAAGGAATCTCACCTTAACGATGGGTAAGTAATTCTATTCTCATTTTGCAGATAGGGAAATGGAGGGACAGAGAGTTTAATGACTTGCCCAGATGGCCTGGGTGGAACTAGGATTTGAATCCTGGTAAGACTGGTGTTACAGCCCAGCCTTTAGGAACCGTGTAACACCGCCTCTTAGGGAGGAGGACGGGAGCGGTGACTCCCTCTCATACATTTTATTCCTACTAAGAAAACTTCGGTTACAAGCAGACATACATCCACTCTGCATCTCCAGGTAGAAAAATTATATTAAGAATGGACAAAGTCCATATATAAAGACTGACAGGTTTCTTGTAACACTTCTTGGATGGTGTATCATGGGCAAACTAATCTTTGAAAGCCAAATTGTCCACCAGAGACTGTGAGGTAGATAGTGTCTATTCTGCAGTTGTTGTTTTTGTTTTGTTTTTCACCCTCACCGTGTGTTTTAATCATGTGAATTGGTTGTCAACATCTAAAAATCAGGGCATTTCACATAAAACCCTATATTTCCACACCTTTGTAGCCTGCTGCAGTGGTAGCAGTTGGAGCAGTGCCCTCTAAACTGTGCTCTCCAGTTCACCGTAGTCCCCACTGCTCCCTGTTGCCCTACAGCCAGACTGTGTCACTCATGTCTGTTCTCTGCCTGACTCTTGCACTCCTTTGTGATTCATCATATTCTGTAGGTTGAAACCTCACCACATTATCCCTATGGAAATAAACTGTAGAGTTAGCCACAGAACAAGCACCATTTACCAGGCTTTGTTACTGGGTGTCCTAGAAGGGACACATTGATTTAAAGGTAGTGGGGAGTTTGGTTAAGAACATAGCCTGAAAAGCCAAATTATCTTGGGTTTAAACCCTACCTTTACCACTAACTATAACTAGTTATGAGAACTTGGACAAGTCACTTCACCTCTCTGAGCCTCAGTTTCCTCATCTGCAAAATGGGAATAATAATACCTACTACTTTGGGTTGCTATGAGGATTTAATGATGTTGAATTCATGCAAGAACTTAAGACAGTGCCTGGCACACAGCAGGGTCTATGTCAGCGCCAGTTGCTATTATTATAACTCACTTAGATCAAACACTAATCTGGGCAGTATGTATTTTCACAGGCTCCCAGAAGTTAAGCCAAGACTTGGCATCTTTCCCTTGGAACATTGTCCTTTGAGCTTGGTGCATGAGTACAAAGTGTTGAAGTCCACTTATTAAGCATCTTGAATTCTGAGTCCTCTCCCAATAAGGTTGACAACAATAGTAATAACAGGATTAATAAATGGTTTGCATTTTTGGTGCACCAACTGAGGAACACACATACACCAAACTATACACATTGTGTAGGTCATCTAACCTTTTTAATAGCCTAGAAATGGATACTACTGGAATCTTTCCTTCACAGCTGAGGAAATTAAGATTTGAGGAGGGTAAATAATAGGCTAAAGGTTTTACAGTGAGTAAGTGATTGGGGTGGAGTGGGGAGGCCAGGGCCCAGGCAGTCTGGTGCCAGACCTGCACCAGTAAGCCCATGTTCTAGGCCCCCTGTTCACATGGACACAAGCACATTATGGCTCCTCTTAAGAATAAAGTTGGATGTGTTCACATCTATTCTCCAACTATCTTCCCCTGCATGGGCCAGCATCATCAAATTTGTCATCCTGCAAGCAGGAAACCTTGAGTTTCCTTTCAAGCGTTGTGTCCTTTTCTCCTTTCTTTGGACAAAGCCGTCTATTTTTTGTATGTGTGACACTTCCTGTTTGGTTCCTAGGTCCAGCTTGTCCCATAAAAAGTTAATTTACTGTGACCTCTGCTACTGTCCTGTTTGCCAAGGTTGGGTTGGCTGATCTGGCAGGTCAAAGGATGTCCCCTCCCTCCTTCACCCACATGGATGAAGCTCTTGGTCAACCAAGACAAAGAGGTTGAGCTTCTCAGCTTGAGGGCTATTGGGCTTTGGTCAGTGATATGTAGGAGTGGTTGTGCTGCTCTGGCAGGAAACTAAAAGGTTTTCAGCATTCTTATCTGTCCTTCCAGGAGTTACATGGTAAGACAAAGATGGATCTGGGCTTGTCATTTCCTAGTTTGGATTCTTCATCATATCACCTTGCTCTATGTCATTTCAGGGCCTATGATCTGATGAAAAGTGTCACTGATTCTATTAGATGGAGCCCATCTCAGCTGGTTAGAGAAATCAGAAGAAATATGTCCAAATCCAGAGGAACATCTCAACAGTATTCATCTCTTTGGGATGTGAGACAGCACTGGCAATACCCAAAACATGTGGTGACCCTTTGGTCCTTAAACAAAGAATGATTGTGCTGTTTTAATGAAAAATCTTGTAGGAGATCATTAAGGAGGTCACATGGCAAGGCAGAGCAGGGAAAAATCCTGAATATCCCATTTTCTCTCCTGCATTTCCCACTCTGTTACAGTTAGGTGGGACTATGTATTGATTTCAGGCAATGAATGTGAGCCTAAGTGACATTAGTCACTCCTGGCCTGAGGCAATAAAAGACTCCTGTGGGATTCTCTGATTTTCCTCTTTCCCATCTTCACCTGAAGATACCTTGTGTTCTAGATCTGAGGTTGGCAAACTACAGCCCACAGACAAGAAGCCTGCTTCTGTAAGTTTTATTAGAACCCAGCCATATCTACTCATTTATATATTGTCAATGGCCGCTTTTGTACTAACATGGCAGAGCTAAGCGGTTGTTGATAGAGACTGTGATGGAGACCATGTGGCCTGCAAGACCCAAAATATTTACTATGTAACCCTTTAAAGAAAAAGTTACTGACCTCCATTCTAGATAAGGCAGCTAGAAGATGGTGCAGGTTTGGATTGCCTGGGGACCTGAATGACTGTGTGGAGGAGAGACCTTCCACTGACCCCTGTGGTCCATGTAACATCAATGAAGAAAACATGAAAACCCTTTTGTTTGGGGGTGTTTGTTACTGGAGTGTAAACCCAACCTAACCTGACAGATTCTAATGGGCATTCAAGTAAAGGCATTTTACATCAGAAGGGATTCAAAAAGCCAACTTACTTCTTTGTGAAGTGAACTGTACAAGAAATGGCGATGATGAGAAGGCCAATGATGATGGAGGCGATGGCCACCCACTTGGCATTCCGCCCAAGCCGCCTGGCTCCTTCGTAGTCTCCATCATTGTAGCTGTTCAGAGACTGGGGGACACAAGGGAAGAGCTGGTGATGATAGACAAACTATGAGGAAAGCCATGGGGATTCTCGGGTTGTCTGATAATAAGGCCTGAAGAACCCTCTGGTGACTTTGCTTGTGCAAGCAGCATGGTTATCCTCTCCTCCGGGAATCCTTCCCTAAACTCCAAGCCTGAATTAACTGTCCTCTCTGTATTTCCTGATTACTCTTGTCTTAGCATTTGTCATAACACCTTAAAATGACAGATTTTGTCTCTTCCACCAGATCTAAGTGCAATGTGAGCAGGGGCCACTGTTGTCTGTCCTGTTCAACACAGCACACCAGTGCCCAGTGCAATACTTGTCATGTAGAAGATGCTGGATAAATATTTGTAGCCTAAAAGGATAAATGAGCATATCTGTCTTGTCCACTTAGAACAGGGCTTTGGGAACTATGGCCCATGGACCAAATCCAGCCGCCTGCCTGTTTTTGTAAATCAAGTTGTTTGGAACAGAGCCACAATCATTTGTCTACTATTATCTGTGGCCGTTTTTGCACTAGAATGATGGAATTGAGTAGTTGGAACAGAGACTGTAGGACCTGCAAGGCCAAAAAAATATAGCGTTTGGTTATTTGCAGAAAACGTTCACCTACTCCTGCATTGCAAGATCAATCCATGAAGTCAAGGACCTCGACTGAATTGTTCATCTCTATGCCCAAGCCAAGGCTATCATGCCCAGCTGTTAAAATGTCGAAATACTCCTGTACTCATTGATAAACAGAAGCTACTCTGACACTTCCCTCCTTTCCCCAATGTCCCAGCCATCCTGCCTCCTTCTTTGAATTTCCCCGGATTTTCCCACAGTACAACTTAAGAGTTATTTCTGGGCTCAGCAGAGAATCTTCTCTGATTCTGTGCCCATGCCAAACTTGCTAACTATCTTGTTGCTAGTATTTAGAGTAGTTTTTAGCACATTGCAAAAGCTCAAGAAATATGTATTGTCTGAATGGATATGTCTGTTTCCCTACATAGCGTGAGTTCTTTGAGGGCATCTTGGAGTTCCCCAGGACCTAGCCAGGTGCCAGGGAAAGAAAAGTTGCTCAGAGATGCTTGCTGCTGAGCTGAAGGTCAGATGCTGTTTTTCTCCCTTATCATAGGGCCCTTTTTATCATCCCCCTGCTAGGAATCTTCCTAAAGTTGTGCTACAGCTATGTATAGAGGGATTCCACCAGTGGCGAGAGTTAGAGATTTCACCGGGCACCTCTGCTCTTGATTCTGAAATCACAGCACTTCGGTACTAATCACTTCTCTTTCTGGACTATTAAGGGGGATTAGGCATGGCAGACAATTACAAGCCAGGGGAATACCCAGTATACCACAGAGCTCTCTGCTTCTGGAACTTCCCATTAATTCTTGGATCCAGGCCACCTTAGTCAGCAACACACTGGGAGACTCAGCAAAGAGAAGAATTTGTTTTCAGGCCTTTTGTGTGAATGAGAGAGTGAGAACCTGCAGCAGCATCAGGGCCTTACAACAAGGCGAGTTCCAAAATTCCAAGTCCTGAGTTCTGGAGTTCTCAATCCTGGGTACCCATTAGAACCCCATGGATAGGTTTTTTTTTTTTTTTTAAAAAAAAAACAAAGATATGTAGACCCTACCCTGGAGAGATTCTGATTTAACTGGTGTGGGGACCAGGTGCTATATGTTTTATGTGTATGTTTTTTATTGTGGCAAAATATGAACAAAATTTCCCATTTTAACCATTTGAAGTGTATAGTTCAGTGGCATTAATACGTTCACATTGTCGTGCAACCACAACCACCAGCCATCTCTAGAGTTTTTCATATTCCCCAACCGAAACTCCATACCTGTTAAACATGTATTCTCCATTCTACCTTCCCCCAAGTTCTTGGCAACCCATTCTACTTTCTGACTCTCTATATTTGACTATTCTGGGTACTTCATTTTAGTGAAATAATACAGTCTTCATCCACTTTTGACTGGCTTCTTTTACTCAGCATAATGTCTTCAAGGTTCATCCGTGTTGTAGCAGGTGTCAGATTTCCCTTCCCTCTGTAAAGCTAAGTAATACTCCCTTGGATGGCTAGAGTACATTTTGTTTATCCATTTGTCTGTCGATGAATACTTGGGATCTTCACAGAACTGGAAACCTCTGGTCCAGGTGGACATCCTTCAGGGTCAAGATGCTCACCACCTTTAATTTCAAGGGAGTGTGGGATAGAGCAGTGGTCCCCAACATTTTTGGCATCAGGGACTGGTTCGTAGAAGACAATTTTTCCACTGACTGGGGTTGGAGTGGAGTGGGATTGGATTCTCATAAGGAGCGTGCAACCCAGATCCTTCACATGTGTGCACAGTTTACAACAGGGTTCACACTCCTATGAGAATCTAGTGCTGCACTGATGTGACAGGAGGTGGAGCTCAGGGGGTGATGTGAGAGATGGGGGGCGCCTGTGAGTACAGATGAAGCGTGTAGCTCTCTCACCTGCTGCTCAACTCCTGCTGTGCAGCCCAGTTACTAACAGGCCAAAACCCAGTACTGGTCCATAGCCTGGGGGTTGGGGACTACAGTGATAGAGCATGAGCTCTAAATTCAGAGAGACCTGAGTCCTGATTCTATGTCTTATCAGTTGTGAGAGCTAGAGCAAGTTACAGACCTTTCTATGACTCAATGTCCTCATCTGTAAATCGGAGGCAGTAGCAGTAAATGCCTACTTTGCATTGGAGGATCTAATGAGTTAATGCATGTAAAGCGGTTAACGTTGGCTCAGCACGGAGTGTATTCTCAGTACTGTTAGCTTTTACTGTGAATTGCCACTTCCTGTCTTGCTCTTCGTCAAAAGATGCAATTCTTATGGTGCAAAAGAATCATCTCTACCCTTTGCTGGATCTGAATCTTTGGGGACCCATGTTTGAATAGCTGTTTTAGAGGCTTCACGACCAAAGTCACTGCACAGAATCTTAAATTCTGAGCTTACAATCCAGCTTAGAATGAGTTAGATTTGGATGCCTCCAAACAGATCATTATTCTATTGTGCTACCTTGGAAAACACAGTTCTGAGATGAGCCACGGTGATGCATTTATGTTGCTGTAACCAGAGGAAAAATAATGAGACCCTCCCTTCTCTTCCTAAACAATGTCAACTCTTGGCTGTTGGGATGAGAAAAACCAAAACCAAAAGCCATGGTCTTAGCAGCAGCAACCAAAAAAGTGGGAAGAACAGGCATTCTGTGCAATATTGAAGAGTATATCTGTCATCTGCACATTGCCCATGAGCTCACGTGGGATGGGGGTCCCTGTGCCATTTGAATTGTTTGGCACAGGCTGGAGAGGGATTTGAGTGTAGCCATGGGGTGGGAGGAATCCTGCCACACTGTCATATCCTGCTGTCAGTCCCGTATCTTACATGTGACCTTCTTCTCTGCAAACCACCATCTTTCTGTGCCTTGTAAGGGAGACCTTGAGTGAGTCCAGGAATGGGGCTGTGGTTGGCCTGAAAAACAAGTGAAGGGCTGGGCGCAGTGGCTCACAGCTGTAATCCCAGCACTCTGGGAGGTTGAGGCAGGTGAATTGCTCGAGCTCAGGAGTTCAAGACCAGCCTGAGGAAGACAGAGACCCTTGTCTCTAAAAAAACAGCCGGGTGTTGTGGCAGGTGCCTGTAGTCCCAGCTATTTGGGTGGCTGAAGGAAGAGAATTGCTTAAGCCCAAGAATTTGAATTGTTATGCTGTGAGTTATGATGCCAAGGCACTCTACTGAGGTTGACAAAGTGAGACTCTGTTTCAAACAGAGAGAGAGACAGAGGGAGGAAGGAAGGAAGGAAAGAAGGAAGGAAGGAAAGCTGGCGGGCAGACAAGTGAAAAGTATCTTTTGGTATCAAGTGGACTCTTCTCTCCCATGACTCCTCTTCTGAATCCACTTTCTCCTCTGGTATTTGGGAAATGTGCTGCTCGTGAGCCAATCTGCTGGGAAACTGTAAGAAGATGGGGGGAGGGTGAAACTGGGAGACCTTCAAACTCTCAGGTTTCATTCTGAAGGACTCGGTGGCTGGAGGGCTCATGCTTAAGGGTAGAGGGCTAACAACGAAGAAAAAGGAATCAGTTCCCTCCTTCCCAACATGCCGGCTGTAATTCTTTTGTTCTTCCAATTGCAATTTTACAGGAAGGTTCTCTGGGCAGACGAGACAGACTAAAGTGGTGGAAATGGATTTTAGAGAAAATGCATTTCTGAAGAGCTCAGAATGCAAACTATCCATCTGGTGTGGAAGAACTAGAAAGAAAGGAGGCAGCTTTAGAGATTCAGAATTTATATAATCTGATTTGTTCTCCTTAAAAATTACTAATGCGATCTGTGACCATGTAAATAAAGCATGCAAATGCTACAGAAACTACTTACAAATGCTACAGGAAACAGCAAAGTATTAATAAATAGTAAATCTATACCCTAATCTCATCTCCCAGAGATAACCCTTGTTAGCAGTTTCGTACATTTGCTTCTACATTTTTTTCCTCCACAAATAACATGAAAAGAAAACAGACTCTTTCTCCCGCTTCCATTATGACTAAAGGCATCATGTAGCACCACCAGTAGAAAGAAACAGCAATTTTCACCCTCAGAAAACCCAAGAATAACAGAGTCAGTCTGTCTAGTCCTCCTCCCTCAAACATTAAAACCTTCAGTTTTCCTCCCCCATCTTGGCAAAGACAACTTCATCCCTGCCTTTTGCGATGCTCACATCTAAACATAGGTTACTTCCTTTGTGGCTATCGTCCTCTCTTGAGAAAGATACTGGTTTGTTTTGGTTTTGACCATAAACAGACGAATACAAAGCTTGATAGTGACCTTGGCAACTGCGCATTTCTTTCTTTTAGATACTTGGGTTTAAAAGTATTTGACCATTTGGCTAGATGGTCGTTTTCTTTTTCTTTCTTTTTTTTTTATTAAATGATAGCTGTATACATTAATGCAAACATGGGGTATAGATGGTCATTTTCATGTTGGACCT